AAGTACCAAGTATTTTGTTCAATGCACATTACGATCAAAATTGTGCAAACATCATTTGCGAGCACCTCATGTGTGTATTGGGCTACTCAAACTCATGTGCATACGTCATTGGTGATTGCCATTATTGTTTCTTAGGAAATGCATGGTGTGGTATGTTAGAATAATTAACATTGTGTTGTAGGTGATTACTATGTTGGACACCATGCTCATCCAGAATATCACTTGCATTTCGTGCCTTAATTGTCACAAACACAATAGCTACCCTCTCATCTCATAGAATACTTGCTACATCTTCATTGTCTCCGATAACTGCACTCGAAACCCCTGTGATATGTTTGAGCAATGCATGTAGCTCGATTTCGTTATTATGTGAGTTGACCCTAACAACCTTGTCAACCAACTTCACTAGGCCCAAAAATGACAAATCACTCCCAACACCCATCACTCGTGTCTCACTACCCTTGTAAGTGTCATCAATCTAATAACCACCGTATGTAATCATAAGCTTTACATTTGACATCCCACTGAAACTTAACAAAAAAAAGTGTCACAATTAGTCAATTTATCAAAAATTGCCCCTCAATGCAAAAAAACCACTTACGCAATGCCTAAGTCATGGAATAACATAAAGTCAGTCTTGCAATGTCTAATACACATTCACACAATGCTTGAAAACTAGTGATGAAATGCCTTAAAATGAGATGCATTGCATAAGTCACGCACCACCATTCTTGTAATATCTAATAATAAGTCACTCAATGCTTAATATCCACTCACGTTATGCCAAAATAACCAATCACGTATTAGCCCAACGTCACACAATACATAACAACTAGTCACATAATGCCTAAAAAGTAGTTAAGAAATGTCTCAAAACAAGATATTAATTGCATAATTCATGCAACGCCTATAAACCAGTCTAGCAATACCTAATAATAAGTCACTTAATGCCTAATATCCATTCACATTTTACCAAAATAACCAGTCACATATTGGCCCAATGCCACGCAATACATAACAAAAAGTCAAAGAATACATAACAACTAGTCATGCAATGCCTAAAAAGTAGTTAAGAAATGTCTTAAAACAAGATATGCATTGCACAATTCACACAGCACTTATAAACCAGTCTCACAATACTTAATAATAAGTCATGCAATGCCTAATATCCACTCATGTTATGCCAAAATATCCACTCATGCATTGGCCAACGTCACGCAATACTTAAAAATCAATCACGAAATACATAACAACCAGGCATGCAATGCCTAATATCCATTAACACAATGCATAATATCCATTCACTTAATGCCTATAAATAAAATAATATTCCAACTTTTGTCATCATACCTTTACTTGTCTTATATAAATAGAAAATTAAGAAATTAGAGTAAGTAAACAAGTTATTTAGCATAATAGAAATTAAAGGTAATAACTCATTTTATGGAAAATGTGTGATAAATCAATATTTTTATTCATTAGCTGAAAAAACAGATGATAGAACATATGAATCATGGTTCATTCCTTCCTAATCTCATCTACTATTTCATAAATTTCAAGTAGAATCTTGTTATTTTCCAGAATTTCTGTCTTTAGGACTTTTGTCCTTAGCAGTAACTTATTTATCACCCACACATGCCCTTCTCCATGTTCTCAATTTAGTCCATGAACTTGACCAAATACACTGCAACATTGTCAAGGATATCTTCCTCTTTAGGAGCAACCCCCTTCGCAGTTTTGCCTTTGGAATGTTTGGAAGCCATGAGAATTTCGAGATTTTTTTTTCAAATGATTTTGATTAAAATGGATAATGGTTCCCTCTATTTATAGCCATGAATGCAGACTCTTGAAATGGTGTTCAATGGTTTTAGGTTTATTTTCTTATGAACATAGTTAGTTTGTAAATCGATGCATTAAGTACTTTAAAGAGAATTTCAGAGTTCTGTGTCAACTGAATCTAGATGGTTTTCTGCACCGACATAAGTGGTTATTAAAGGGGCTATATTAGTAGATAATCCACTTTAGCATTAGATAGATAAAGCAATGCAATTTCCAAAAACTAGTCATGCAATGCCTACAAACTAGTCAAGCAATTCCTAAAACCTTGTCACGTAATGTTCAACTCACGCAATTCCTAAAATTTTATCTCGCAATACCTCTTATCTAGTTTCACATTGTCTAATATTCAGTCACCTAATGCCAAATAAATAGGTTATGATTCCAAATAATCAGTCATGCAATGCCTAACATCAAGTCACACACCTTAATATCCAATGATGCAATGCCTAACAAGTATTCACGCATCGCTAATAAACTGATTGATTCCACTACTCCTAGCAAGATTTAAGTTTCTAAAGTCATATAATTTACCCATCAACTTTTGCATTCTATGAATATAAAAAATAAACCTAAGAACTCATAACAAATACCGTAATGTTATCTTTGCACTTTGGGATGGTGAGAAAATTGGATCGCGATATAGACCTCAATGGCGTTGGAGAGTTGGACGACGAGATATAGACCCCGATGGCGTTGCAAAGCTAGACGATAAGATAGCTAAATTAAGATTTAATTTTAGAATTTTTAATTGAATGGCAGAAGAGGAGAAAGAAACCAAGACTACGTAATTTGGATTAAATGGTTTAAAGGGTATTCTTGTTAAGTCATGCTAAAAATTATCTAAAAACAGTTAAAATTATAATAAAGGTCATTTTTTAAGTGAGTTTATTAGGAAGATTATTTTTCACAATTTTTTCATTAAAAATCTATAGATGTGTCAAAAATTAAGGTACTTACATGATGATAGTGAAATTTATTATTTAACCTTAATTGATTACAACATATATGTATTATAAAAAATACAAATCATAGCAAAACTAAAAGAAAAGGACGGTCCATCATCATAATTGGACACTGCATGAACTTTTACAAAAAGAACATAAAGGTTTAAGAATAGGTTCCGACCAATGAACCCAAAAAGCTGTTACAGGACCAGTCTTTTGACCGGGCCAGTCCTAGCAATAGCATATGATTTGGAAGAGTCTTATCTTCTCCATGTTTTTTCTGTATAATTAAGCTTGCAATTTGCCATAAGCAAGCGTAGCTAAAATACATATATAAAACAATTTATACTTTGCTTGCTTCAAAGTTTGGGGAAAAGCCAGACTGCCTATCTCTTCACGTCTTTAGTCTATTAGCCACAGAATAAGCTGATTGGATATATATTTATCGTACTATTTGACTTGCTTTAGGATAATACAAACATCTTCTTCTTCTTTTTTGTTCTGTTTCTTTTGTGGTGGATACAAACACCAAATATGCTAAAGAGTTTTTGCACGTAATATAAAGAGAAAAAGGGATTGCCAAAAATAGAGCTATGTATTCATTAATTTTAAAAGAATTAATACTCCATTTGGTTTCACCTTAGAGTTTGCTAATAACTTATTAATTACCTTACGTGAACTATTTTTAGTTAAAATTACAAGCGAAGCTTTAAAAAGTAATTTTTTATGGATAATAAAAGTGATTTCGTTGTTAGCATAACGTAATCCTAACAGTGTATTTCTTCAAATATCTGTAAACGTATTTTTTACCATTTATTTGTAATAGCTAAAAGCTAATAATGAAGTCATAGCTATAGTTTCAATCATATATAGTTCAAGATCATATATATATATATATATATATATATATACACATATATATACACACACACAAAATTATAAACTATATAAAGTTATAAGATCACCTCAGTAATGACATCATAAGTATATTGTTTAGATTATTGCAGTGATTTTAATATCGATATTAAATATAACTTAGGAATGGTAATGGGTACCGTATTACAAGGTACTTGTGGATACTTGACCCGGTTATATAGAGTTAGAGTTCCTTATAACCGAGTTTAGGCCGGGTTCGGATAGTGATTTTACTACCCTAATCAGGTTTGGTTAAGATTTGGGTACCACCCCTTAGGTACCCATTACTCGAATCGGATTACCATTTATAAATATTCTATTATTGTTTTAATAATTAAATTAAAGATGTACAATTTTTACCAATTTTACAAGCAATTGTTTTTGTTCAAAACTAACAAATATATGAAAAGTATGATTACTCTAATTATTAATATGATGACATTAATATATATAAATTAAAAAATTATTAGATTATTAATCATGTTTAAATAATATGAATATCATATCATATTATAAAGGAATATAATTACTATTATATAGATATACTTTTAACATAAATATATTTACTTTCTATTTCTTGTTTTAACATTACAAAAATTATGACTTATAAAATTATTAATTATAATATATATACCATTATTTATATAAACTTATAACATATATACTTAAAGAGAACTTTTGAGATTAGAATAGTTTTGGAACCTAACTATTTTTTTTAATTTCAAGAAATTAAGGACAAATCCATATAGTTAATTAAATTTATTCATGAAACTATTATTATTAATTAACTTGTAATGTCTTTCAATATATATAGTTTATATATTGTGTTAATTCATAAGAAATATTATTACTATTATATATATACTAAAATATTTTTAGTATATAGATTCTTTAACTATAAACATATTTACTTTTTATTTTGTGTTAACATAACCAAATTATAACTTATAAAATTATTAATTATAATATATATACCTTTGTTTCTATAAACTTATAACATATAAATCTAAAGGGAAGTTGTAAAATTAGAATAGTTTGGAAACTTAGTTATTTTTTTTAGTTCTTGTAATTAAGGATAAACCTATATAGTTCCTTAAATTAATTAAACTTATGATTATTAATTAACTTGTAATGTCTTTTAATATATACTTTATATGCATTGGGTTCAT